CCCTACAGAATTCTTCAAATTCTGTTTCTATCTAAAGTCTTTGTCTGTCTGCATCATGGGAACTGATAATAGTACCTGGTTGTTTTTTGGGTTTGTTTTTTTTTTTTTAGTGCTCAGAAAATTTGAGAGAGTTCCTGCCTCCAGACTGATTTATGGCTCAGAAGAAGCTCATATTCTTCAGTCTCAGTCATCTGGAGGAGACCTGCAAAGTCCAGCTTTTCAGTGCATTTCAGGTGAGGAAAACTCTCAGAAAATCTGTACAGATGACACTAACAATCACGGAAAATAATTATCTTTTTGTATGAGGAGCTTATAGTTAAGTTCCTAGATGAACTATATGTTTTGCAGTTCAGCACCAATCCACTGCAAGATATTTACAACTTTTGGTGACCTCAGTTCAGGGAAGAGGTTGGTCTTTCTTTCAGAAAGGAGCCTTCTGATTTTACATACCACTTCAGACAAGTCATCTGACTTTAAAGCCAGTTGGTGTAGTTTGCAATATGGATGAGAGCTGAGATTCAAACCAGGAAATGTTCATCAGTCTTTTGAGATGTGCAGACAAAAGAAGCATTAGATATTCAGGACATGTGAAAGCCATGATTTCACCTCTTCCCAAATTACCTAATTGGCACATAAAAGAGGAATAATCATCCTCACTTACATCAGAAGGGGTGCAGAGATATTCCTCTGCCAAGCCTTACAATGTATCTACTATATTACATCTGGATACATCATGTTTGTTGGTTTATATTGGTTCAAAGTCATCTAAAATTGAGGAGAATCACTGCACTGCTTTCAGGGTGCTTTGAGTCAGTCTCATCTTCTGTCTCCTAATGCTCAGACTGTGAAGAGGGACAGAGGGGTTACATTCAAAATAAAAACACTCTGGCAGTAATAACACAGGTGGCCTGGTTGTAGGGCAGACATCACAGAAGTCTGACAAAGTCAGTGGCTTTGTGTCACATACCATGACCTAGGTGGAGCGGTGGAGCAGTCATCTCTCGTGCTAAGAAGTGAATATGTGAAGCCTTATATGTGTTACTAGAATGATTTTCCTGCACCAGCTCATCCTCTAGCTATATACTGTAAGGTTTCTTGCACTTTCCTCTGAAACTGGAGACCTTCAAAAGCAAGACATAGAGCTGAGAGAACCATGGGAATGAACTTGGGGACAAAAAGATGCCCCTTTGACAAGCAATCTGATTCAGTGCACATAGCCAGTATTCTCATTACAAGTTACATCCCCTGTCAAATGGCAGCACTACTACTAAATATTACTGCCGAGGTGCTCACTGAAGGGTAAGGGTTAATCTTGCCCTCTGCTTCCCTACAAAGTCAGACAGTTTAGCTTACATTTCTGATGATGTTTTGATCTAAGCTGGCTGATTTTATACTGAAGACATTTGGAAACAATTTCATCTCCTGTTCCAGGAGCAGAGCTGTGGGAGCAGGTTGCTGGTGCGTGTGTAAGGGCAGAAGGATCTTCAGCCACTCCTAAATCTGGAGGGCGATGGCTGCTTGCCCCCTTACACTGACCAGACATTTACTGCAGAGGCAGCCAGCATGACTGAAGAATTTGATGTTTCCGTCCTTCCTATCACACTGATGTTTGTCACAACCTGTTTGCTATGGGGTTACTGTATCAGGCAGATGTGATGTGCTGGCGAAGCGGTTCATGAGAATCCTCCCTGTCTGCCTTAGGTAAAATTATCCACCAGACATTAACTATTTAGGTGGATGGTTAGACCTAACTCAGCTGTTTGTATCATCAGATGATGAACAACTTTTTGCATTAATTTAAATTAATTTAAAAACCTAACCCTCTACTGAAACAGGTGAATACTAAAGTTTATCTGGCTAATGAAATTCATATGCTTGCAGTCTGATAGATATATGAAAAACTAGGCAAATGGCAGTAAACAGTGGAATTTGTAGCAGAAATTTTGCCCATGAAAAGCTGGGAAACCTAAAGTTTCTTTCTTGTTTTTCAGACTGTGAGAGGGAACATGCATGTGGTTTTGCGACTGTTACCCCTGCTGGTGCTGAAGTTCTCTGTGAGTTGTACAGTGCTGCTGAAGTCAACTTCAACTGCACCACCTCTGGATTGGTAAAAATGATCATATTTAAAAATATGTGTTTATCGTAATACTGTACATTCAGTATAAGTAGATGGCATCACAGAAGAAAGGCAGGCTGACCCCTTGGACATTGCTTTTCACTATGGCAGTAATAAAGTCCTGCAAGTTGGTAAAGAAGCTACACCCAGATGTTTCCCAAAATGACATCTGAATGCCTCAGTGTTTGGTTGAAACATCACACAGCACTTTTGTTCCTAAAACATGCTGAGCTCCTGCAGTCAGAAAATCAGGTTAACTTAAAAAGAGGATTAATCTGGATAATCCAAACTAGGAGCATCTAGGTCGATAATCAGACCACCTGAAACAGTCATCATTTCTCAATCCCTTCCTCTAGCCCAGGGTTTGAATTGTGTGCTCCTTAGCACTGTAACATCTTCCACTTCACTACTTCTAAACACAGCAATGTGGCATTGGAAAGTCAAGATCTCAGTTTGATGGAATAAAAAAATGTTCACAGTGGGCCACATGGAGCTATGGTGGTTATAAACCATGCGCACTAATTCCTCCCCCTGAGTTTGTGAATAAGGAAAATGTGTTTTAGGAGAGGAAACCAATTAGGTTGTATTTATTGTGCATGCTTGTTTTATGTCTCAGGTGCAAGGTGTTTTGGGGAACCCCACTGCCATGAGCATCGACCGTCTCAGCTGCCTGCTTCATGTCAGGAATTCAGAGGGAGAAGCAGTGATGGTCTATTTGAAGAGAGGTACCAAATGGAAATCACTCATCTAATGTTAGACGGTTGTGCCCAAACTTATACTTACTTCTGTATAGGGTCATTACTAAATGTGGGGAGCATCATGGTTTAAGAAGACACAATATTTTTAAGAGTTTAACATTTCGTGATAGCCCAGAACCCTCAGCAAATCTTTGCAAGCCATTTTGATGGCTTTCTCCAGCAGACAGTCTCAGAAAAACTCAAAGTCTATCCAATGTGTTATTCTATTCTGTTCTGTTCTGTTGTACTATGATTTCTCTTTATTAAACAGTTTGTTATTTGAATATATAAGGCATTATTGATGACCAGCTTGTACGTAATTTAACAGTTTCCATTAATTTTGATTGAGAATTGTCCTACTAATATAGCAGCCAAGAAATAACCTGCTCTCCAGTGAATCTCAAAGTGATTCAGCGGAACTAATGAATGTACAAGATATAATTTTTTTTTTTTTTTGGCCTAAGGGTCATTGATACCACTGCATGTCCCACCCAATGTGTGTCTAACTTTAAGCCTCATGCCAAATTTGAAACAAGACAACCAAATGCAGAATGATGCAGGTTTTGAGTCAAAGCTCTCTGCAGTCACTGTTTTCTTTTTACTTCTATCCAAACCTCTGAGTCACCTTTTATTAATAATAATAAAAATAAAGAACTAAATCTCACCTGAAAAAAGACAAGTCCCTTGGGCTTGTTGCAATCAATTGTTGATCTTGTTGGTACCAGATCTACTCTACATTTCTGTTGATATTGCTAATTAGATCCAGGATTATATGAATCATGTCCTCTTACATATGTGTCTAGTTAGCAGAAACCTTAATTGCAGGTGCAGTTATGCTGGCCAAATTACACATTTTACTTTTTTAATGAGATAAGTTTGTTTCATTTATACCTGGGACTTATTAATGTAGTGATTGAAAGTGGAATATTACCAACCTTACTGCGTACATGGATTTAGGAGCCCTTTGCTGGTACAGTGGACTGTTTTTCCTGCCCTGGCAGTACATTCTGACCAACCACCCAGGCATAATTGCACCAAATCATTTAATGGTCTTACCTTGCATCTGGAACAAGTTCAGAAAAGGACTTTCAAGGCTGAGTTTTTATCATAAAACTTTCAACCAGCTCCAGTCTGCACACCATCCAAAAGCATCTCGTCTCTTCTTGAGCTCTTTTGAACAATTCTTTCCTGTTCTGTCTACCCAGGGCAGGAATTTAACTCATCTGGACTCAAGACCTTTGAAAGGACCAGTTTTCAGAATGTGCTTTCTGGCGTGTATCGCTCTGTGGTGCTCTCAGCAGCTAGTGCATCGCTGACTGATGCTCAGCTCTTCTGTCGGCAGACTTGCAGCAAGGACTCTTGCTGTGATGGCTTCATCTTGAGTCAGATTGCGCTTGATGGAGGTATTGTCTAACTGCAAAATAAAAAATTCTGCAGTAGAAAACCATGCTGAGTAGAATTCATTTTGGACACAGTACACCTACTTCTACATCATACCAGTATCAGCAGCCTGCCCCTACATCACTGATATTTTTTGGTGTAGGCAGAATTTGAGTAATGCCCAAGACTTGGTCTGGAGCAATAAAGACCTGAGGTAGCAAGCTGCTCTTGGAGACAAATGGACATTTTGAAAGGATTATTTGTTTGACCTGCTTTAGACATCTGCATCTGGATGAGATAAATCATTCTGAAAACGCCTCTCTCCTTATGTAACGCAGCTCAGTTGCCACAAGTTGGTGCCTTTCAGCTGATGGAGGAATTAAGACGGTGACTCCAGACAGAGTCCTTGTAGTGCAAATGGAAATCAGCTCTCTTTTCAGAGCAGGAAAAGGATGCTAATCAGCGAATTATGTTATGTTATTGCATGCAGAAAAAAAGAATGCTATAATCTCCTAAATCTAGCTAGAAGACCAAGTGGGAGTGGGATAGACAGAGCTTGGCAGAGGTGTGACATAGGCAGAGCCCAGATTTCTGCCAGCAACTTTAAACATTTAATGTCAGTGCTTGATTGTTGTAGTTTCTTTTTGAACTCACATGGGATCAACTCTCCCATTGGAGGTTCATTTGCTATAGGAAAAATGAAGTTCTAATTGAGATATCTCAAATTTTTAAAGACATGTTCTTACAAATTGAGGCATGTGCTACTGGCTTCTATGTGGCAAGCACTTCTCCAGTTTGGAGTGGAAACTGATCCTGAATTTGAGAAAACTTTCTCTGTGAAAGTTGTCAGGCAAATATTTCCAGAAAATTATTTGATGTTTTGTCATCTCATATTTTTTTTCATCAAAATATTCTAGGTGATCTTGTAAAATCCATTTCTCTATACATTTACCATCACATTTTTGGGTTCTCTGTCCTTGAGAGCATAGAAGGGGCTGTGGAGAAGGTGAATGTTGTAGACCTCTCTGTTTAGTTGAGGCGACCTATGTGGATCAATACTGTACGTGAATGCATTACTTAGACTAGCATTTTGTTTAAAAAAAAATAATAATAAAAAAGAATAAAAAAGTAGCATATTCAATCTCTCATGTACCCAATCTATAAAAACAAATCAGAGAGGGTATTGTAGAACTATAGAAATGCCTGAGCTATCACAGCAAGTACAAAGCAAGAGCTGAGTATTGTCTAGAAATTATGGTAACAGACTGACATCAGAACACCTGGCCTTAAGCGTGCTGGTCCCCCCAACTCACATCACGATGCTGGGGGAGACTCAGACCTGGGCTGACTGAAATCAGGCACGAATCCAGGAAACCATCCCAGTAAAAATGCAAGTGCTTTCTTGATTCAAAGCCCAAGATTATAGGGCTGCCATAGGATTGAATATGTCTCCGTGGTGCTATAAAGTGCTGAGAACACTGTTGGGTATTATCAGATAATAGGAATATTTTATTAGATGGTAATAGTATGTGCTTGAAATCTCTGAAAAGCAGACTAGAAATGTTTAGTTTAGGTATGAATACGTAACCTTAGTACTCTAATCTGAATGTATGGCTCTGATTTTCTTTTTTTTTTTTTTTTTTTTTTTTTTTCTTTTTTGGTAGCAATACTAAAGGGTATCTATCACAGTGACACAGATTCAATTGGTATTTAGAGAAAGTATTGGGATGCTTGGGTGAAAAACTCTGTGTAGGTGCAAAGCGTTATTGCAGTGATCCAATCTCTCTTTGCCTGAACCTAGGTACCATTTTGTGCAGTTTAATGAGCTACCCAGATGTACTGCTCTGCGATGCAAATGCCTGGAGTCAAACGCCAACATCTGTCATAGATGGCATATGTAAAGGTGTGAGCTACGATGAAAAAGAGAAGATGTTTTCTTTCACCCTGGGAGGACAAGAGTTCAGTGGAAGTATGTCAATGAATTATCTCAATTTACATTACTTTTCTTTAATCCTTGTATAGACTCTGCCTTTTTTCACCAGCCTGCTCTTGTACTTCAGTGCCTTTTTATCAAGTAAATCTGTATCTGTACAATCACAAAAGAATAAGAACTCTCTAATTGGATGCATTGCTAGATAGATGGACCTCTCACCTTCACTGTGTGAACATTAATGGCAGTCAAGAATGTGTTTAGTATATCACCCTGTAATACTTCCAGTATTTAACTCAGGCAGATTCAAGCCAATAAACTGAAAGAAAGGTAAAGTCTGGAGCAAAGACAAAAAGAGAGCTGCACAGATCTGCACAGAAAAAGCAGTGATAGAAAACAGAGTAAAGCTTTGGCACCTTGGACCCAGACTGGCGTCAGGACACCTGGGACTTTCCCCCTTAGGGTCTTGTATTGTAAATAAGATGATGCATAGTCTACTGATATGTTTTTAATGCAATTTCTGAGCATTTAATGCTCAGAATTTAATGCACCTGTTTAATTTGGGCAGCTATTCTAACAAACTTTTTTCTTTATTAGCTTCTAATTTGGTAGAAGAGGCAGAAAGAAATTTTACTACCTTTCAGCAAATTTACCTGTGGAGAGGTGAGTTATCTCACAGAAGTTGTTACAAAACCTTATGATGAACTGTAGGCAGTGGCAGATGTGTGTTCTATAATGGAAGCGTCATTCTCACTTTATTTTATACTGTCCAAATTGAGATGCTACTCAAAAGTCTTTTCTGTCAGGGGTGGGTGTAATCTGGAGTAATTCTGCTACAAGCAGTTTCATGAAATTCAGGTAAATTTTTGTGTCTGAGAATATACTTTATAACTTTTAATACCTGTGAAAATGGTATCATGGACACTTTTACCTTTGTCCCGTCAGGATCCAGGTACCATAATAATTTGGCACTTTATACATAACTAGATGGGATATTTTTATTTGCATGATAACCCTATATGTGTTATTTTTGCAAGTTTACTTTCTGAATGTCGCAATGTACATAGCAGAACCTGCACAAAGTATTTGTGATACTGCTTTATAACTGCATACAGCCTCCAGAGCACTGATGCTGAATGCATACTAATTGTGGATATGGCATTTGATTTTATCCTCCAAACAGTGCGTTTTGGTTTAGGTATTCCCCAGAGTTACATGGAGATGATTTTACTAATTTTTGATTCAGCAGTTGGTAGAACTACCTAAGGAGTTTTCCTAAATGGTACACTTTTTAAAATATTTGTTAAATTTTGACAACTAAGGATGATCTTGTCTTGTGGAAGAAAGATAAAGAGAATTATTATGCTCTTTAATTCCTATTGCATTCCAGGCTCTGATATGGTCACCCGGACTAAAACCTCTTTGTGCGATGTTACTGCTTTGAAAACCGAGAATGATCTAACATTATCAGGTATTATAGCGAGGGCGGACAGAGAAGGCAGCAGAAGGTAGCACAGGGGGGTGCAGAATTTAACCAGAAAATATCATATATTGCCATATGTGTGTCATAATGATATGGGTATTGTGAAGTCCAGAGGAATTCCCTTAGGTAAGAAGTCCGATACAGGTTTTGAGAAAGATGTTCAACATGTAAGCCTCCTGTCTTTATGGTTTTTACCTTCCCAGGCCAGGCTGGAAATGAAAGTGTTAAAATGTTCTGTGAAAGCTTATTCTTTCAGACTTACTGAACTGTAAAGATTCAGGAAATACTATTTGACTGAGAAAAAATTTTAAACCCAGGAATCAAATCCTTAGGCTGGGTATCTGGGCATATTTACTGCTACTGACAAGATGACTAAATATGATGCTTAGATATATTCAGGATGAAACTGCAATCACAAGTGTTTCTTCCATACATGATGAAAGTGAGGGATCTGTGAAGGTCTCTAGCTCTTTTGTTATTCCAGGGACTGTTCTTCATTATACTAAAAGTCATGTATATATCCAAAATAATTTCTATTAAGTTAGTAAAGTTCATTTGGACCTTCAGCACCATAATCCTAAGAGAAAGAGAGCGGTGGAGCCTGTTTGAGAGCACTTTGCTTCATCTCTTATGAACTGTAATCTTTGCTGAGGAGTCTTGATGAATACCTGAGCATGTGATTTAATACATGTAAAATCCTAACCTGAAGTGAATTGCTGATTCTGCTTATGTAATTTGAAAGGAAGATAAACTAGAATGCCCATTTACCTAGTGGTGTTCTTATATAATTAGTGGTGAAGTCTAGACTTAAAAATGAGAAAAAACTGCAGTTAATACAATGGGTGAAATTCTCTTATGTTTACGTGCCAAGGCATGAGTGCAGCCCTCAGGGCTCTCCATTTACCTTGTTGCGGCTGATGATATCATTAAAACCTGAAATTATGCAAGGAATGCATTTTCTTCCTCCATCTCTTAGTCTTAGTCATGACACAAACTGTTTCAAGAGGAATTGAACACTGAAGTTAAGTCTTGAGACATAAAAAGACTTACAAGTCACCTTTTTATAAAAGTTATGGATGCACCTGGGAAAATGTCTACAGAGCTTTTATGACTTGATGATCATCCTTAAAGCACATGGTGACATATCTTTTCTATTTTCTGATAGAAAATTCAAAGCTATTGTGGACTCCCAGCATGTCAGGAGGTGCTTCAGCATTTCAGCTGCCATCATCAACATATCTTTATTTCCCTGTTTTCATTTTTGTCTGGCTATTTCAGAGCATGTAGGATTAAATAACAGAATCTCTCACAATGTCGGAGTAACTGGGGATGAGACCTGCTGATAGCATTTGATAAATGAAAAGGTGTTTATGAAGAAATTTGTAAGAGACCAGTGAAGAGTGTGCATTTCTTTCAATATTGGACCCTTGTTTAAAGGGATTAATTTGAAAACAACCTGAAATAGCTGTGATTGATTGCTTCAGAGGGAGCTCAGGAGATATAAAGCATTGTGTACACATCTGAAGATCACAAGCAGGTGACAGAAAGGAGTTATTTAATGTGGTCTGTGAGAGAATAAACTAGGTGCAATAAGGTTAAATGACAGAAATAGGTATTAAGCTTGTTAAGAAAACTTTTAACACTGAGAGGTGTAAAATCTTCGCAAAGGATTAATAAAACTAGACTGATTAAGGTGTTGTAAACATCCTCTAAGGCATCATACTGCACTGTTAGGATGATGTGTTGCATGACAGAGTAGAGAGAACTTTCTTATTTCTAGGAGCTGCGATTTTCATCCAGTTTTTGGGTGGTGGAAATAGTCTGACAATGCTGTGTTGTGCAGTACAGCTCAGCGAGGAGGCATTGCCTACACAAGCATCAATAACTGTGGGTGGACGATTCTGTTATTAAAAACAACCTTTGGTGCATGCTAGCCCTACAAAACAGTTGCAGCTGTTTTACTGTGAACGGCAGAATTTTACATACAAATAAATTTAATTTATTCCAGATCATAGTTAAATTTTTTGTGGGTTTGAGCAGTTTGTTTGTTTGTTTGCTTGTTTGAATCTCAGATTCCACAAAGGATCTTTTCTACCTAATGGACAACAGCCAGATACAAAGCGACCAGAACTATTCTCTCCCTTACCAGCAGTATTGGATCTTCAGGCAGAAGTACTCAGCAGAGGAAGCGGTGCTTTGGTGTCTCACACGTAAGACATCTTGGAGACTGTTATTCTGTAGGGTATAACAATTAATTAAAATCTTTTAATAGGTAAAATAATCATGATGAGTAAAAACTCTGGACTTAGAAATTTTTTGGGTGCCTAAGGACTGGAGGAAGGCCAATGTCACTCCAGTCTTCAAAAAGGGCAAGAAAGAGGACCTAGGGAACTACAGGCCGGTCAGCCTCACCTCCATCCTGGAAAAGTGGTGGAAGAGCTCATTCTGGATGTCATCTCTAAGCATGTGGAGAAAAATAAGGTTTATCAGGAGTAGTCAGCATGGATTCACCAGGGGAAAAACATGCTTGACCAATCTGATGATAGCCTTCTATGATGGCATGACTGGATGGGTGGATGAGGGGAGAGCAGTGGATGTTCTCTGCCTTGACTTCAGCAAGGCTTTTGACACTATCAGGAAGTGTGGGTTAGATGAGTGGAGAGTGAGGTGGATTGAGAACTGGCTCAATGGCAGAGCTCAGAGGGTTGTGATCAGTGACTCAGAGTCTAGTAGGAGACCTGTAGCTGGTGGTGTTCCCCAG